ACATTTCAAGTGCCCTGTGTGACTTGTGCTGTCTTATTGAACCCCACAGCTATAGAACTCATCCACTGCTGGACGTTCTATGGGACAGCACCATCTTAGACCCAACACCCACTTGGAACCCTCCTCATTCTTCTTTGATAAACTCTTGCTACGCAGCCCAGGCTGGCCCCCAGTTTGCAGTGATGCTCCTGCCTCAACTCCCCAGTTGCTGGGATGATAGGCATGTCAAACCCAGGACTTCCTGTGTGGTAAGCAGGTCTCTACCTCCGAGCCACATACTCAGTTCTTCATTATAATGATTCTGATGCTGAACTGGGCGTGGTGGGGGTGCACATCTATAATTCCAGCACTCTGGGTGGTTGAAGCAGGAGGATGGCAAATTTGAGCTCAGCCTGGGTAACTTAGCAACTTAATGAGATCTTGTCCCAAAAATAAAAACAGTGCTGGGGATGCAGCTCAGTGTGAAGGCCTTGGGTTCAGTTCCCCATGCACCCCTCCACCAAATCTAACACTACACAGATATCACCAATAGGAGGCCGCTCCTTAGAGTTAGCTACCTCAATCAGCTCGGTCTATTTTCTCTGAGTAGTTAGTGTGCTTCGCACTTTACTTCTTGCACTCAGCTGTGCTGTGGAAGTGTCTCTTGGACTGGGTAGAGCTTGCCTACACGCACGCGGCTCTGGGTCCCACTCTTTGCACTGCAAAAAAGCAAAAGGAGAACAGAACAAAACAAAACAAGACCCAAGTCTCTTTCTCCCTCTCTCTTTTTTTTTTTTTTCTTGGTCTTTTCAAGACAGGGTCTCACTATGCAGTTCAGGCTGGCCTTGAGCTCACTTTGTAGCCCAGGGTGGCCTCAAACTCACAATGATCCTCCTGCCTCAGCCTCCCGAGTGCTGGGATTACAGACGTGTGCCACCACACCCAGCCCCAAGTCTCTTTCTCCACCTTGCTTTGGAAGGGTTGCAGAGTACGGCGTGATGGACTTTAGTTGGATAGCTACAATACTGGATCGCCCCCGGGATGGTCACTTGTTTCCAGTTTCCCTGACTACGGACAGTACTATATTTGAACATCCTTGTCTTTCCTCCTGCCCTTGTAGATGTGTTTGTCTGGGGTTGATACCCAGAGGTAGAATTGCTTGGTCACAAAATCATACCCCCTGGCTTGGCACAACCCATGCTCACATGGATGCCCCGCCACATGACTAATCGCCGCTCATCAAGGCCAGCCTGGTGCTGGATCCTTGGGAGAGGAGGTCTCTCCCACCTCTGCCCCCCATATGGCAGAGCTGCTGGACACTTAGAGCACAGCTTTATTTTCTGTGTATCTCCAATACCTAGCATAGGGTAGAGCTCAGAGGAAAAACCCAAATGTTTTCTGGACTTGGTGAATGAATGAATGAGTGAATAAATAAACAAATGAAAGCACGGTGCTCAGGACATTCCAGAAAGTCAAGGTGAGTCCCTGAGTGTCTTGTTCTTTGGCTGCAGACCAATCTGCACTTGGGAAGCTGCCTCTTGCTGGGTTTCTGTCTTTACCTGACCCTCCGGCCCCTGGTAGGTCACTGTGAACCCTATTCCAGTGGAGGATGGCGCTGATGAAGCAGTCTGATGAAGCGTGTCTGGCTGCATAGCTGGATACCTGATGGGGCAGGGGCGGCACTGGTGTGGAGTGGGTTTTCTGAGGGCATCCTGGTGTCCTTTCACCTTTGAAGCAGCCCAGGGTGCTGTGGGTTTTGCTTTATTTTCCCTACAGTACCTTTGGGACAATGAAGATCAGCTGCAAAGCGTCTGTGTTCTGCTTCCCGCTTTGAACCCAAGGGAAGCCAGATGTTTTCCAGCGCACGGCCCCTTCTGCTTTGACTCTGATGAGCGGCGCTCTTCCCTGCAGCTCCCTGGCCCGGCCTCCCCAGATCCCAGAGCCTGGCTGCCAACTTTATTTTTAATGAGGTTTTAATAGGTAATTAATTTCATCCTTGTATTTTCACACTTTCTGTCCAGGTATGTAAAGGCCCCCAGGCGCTCGGTGGGCTGTTAACTGATTTAAAATAATACAGAGCACCGTGGCTGCTATTAGACATTTCCCCAGCTCCTCTCATTTGCAGTTGTTTTACAATCTTAATGAGCTGGGGCCCAGGGCTTGGAGGAAGGTCAGCCCGGTCACCTGCCAGGTTTAATAAAGGTGGAAACAGATAGGGAGAGAAGACTCCTCCAAGCCCAAGAGAGTGGGTGTTGAAACTGGTTTCGGAAGCCGAGGCCTCCAGTTTCATATCCACTGCTCAGGGTCGATTTGTCACCCGCAGCCAGAGTCGGCCAGCCGAAGGTGGAGCGTCTTGGGCGCCTCCAGGCACCTTGGGGAGGCAGCTAATGTTACCTCTGAATCACCTCCATTCATTCTCCTCGCACACCCTTGTCCATTTTGTGAGCGGACCCATTGGCTTCCCAAACTCTTCCCGGACTTTGAATCAACGCCGTTTTCTTATATTTGAAGCTGCCTTTTGAAAATCTGCACGCACAGACTCACGCTCCTCAGGGAGTAGGGGTTGGGGTGGGAGCGAGGGGACAGCCAGGGGCCGGGTCCCCAGCCGCCCATTCCCCTGGGAGCGCTCTGTAGCACGAAGCCAGTCTCGGTGCAACCCTGGGGGCTGGGACCCGGCCGGCCCGGGCTCCCTTTGGTCTCTGGGACGCAGGGCGCTGCCGCTGGGCCACCGGGCGCAGGAGGGAGCGGGAGGAGAAGGGGCCGAGCAGGTGGCGATTAGGTCAGCCTCGGAACATTCTTGGACCGCTCCAGTGGATATAAATAACAAGCGGGGCAGGCTCCGAGAAATCCCGAGGGGCTGGGAGGGTGGTTCGAGGCGGGGAGGATTTCTTTAGGGTCATCCTGGCGACCTGGAAAAACTACGGCATTGATAAGGGGGTGGAGGGGCGAAGGGCTTGAAGAATGAATCGCGGTACAAAATCTGGCACTAAGAACGCGGAGAGGGAGGAGCTCGTGGTTTTTGTCCCACTCCCCCACCCCCGCCGCGTGTTTGTCCCAGGCCTTAGAATGAGCTCCAGATTAGCAGAGCTGTACCCGCACCCGGCCCGGCTTTACAGCCCCGGCTCCGCCCACCTAAAGAGCAGTCCCTGCAGGTCTCTGCCTCAGTTTCCACCATCTGTACAATGGGGATCCTAATGCTTCCTAGGGGGGTGGTTGGGACCTCGCCCGAGCAACCGTCTAAGGATGCTGTGCTCAGCAAAAAATGCAAAGCATTGTCGCCCCCGGAGCCCCTGGGGGTAGATGCAGGCCGGGTCCCGCTTGCTCGCGGATCCGAGCTTTGCAAAGGTGCGGGAGGGCAAAGCCGAAATCTGACCTTGGTGCCTCCGGCGCCACCCTCGGTTGTCGGCCCGGAGCAGACCCCGGAGCGCGCGACCGACCGGGG